AATCTAAAATGATTTATAGTCATGGAAGCAAAAACTGTTAGGAAACCATGGGAGGGAGGGTATGTGAAGCAGAGAAGAATTCACCCAAGATCTTGTGCCCTGAAGTATACAGTGAAACCTTGGATTGAGAGTAACGTGGTTTGTGAGTGTTCTGCAAGACGAGCCAACATTTCTAATAGATTTTAACGTGGTAAATGAGTGATGTCTTGCAATACGAGTAGCTTGTTTCCGGAATGAATTATGCTCGCAAACCAAGGTATTACTGTATTTCTGATTATCCTGAGCCTGAAGTGTGAAACCCTGGATCCAGTGAATTAAAAGTAAAGCACATTGGATTTAAACTAGGAAGTTCTTAGAAGATTTGAATCATAACTCTGTCCCTTCATATGTATTTGTGTCAGGAGGGTCCCCCAAACCACCCCAGGCTCAGTGGTTTGCTAGGAGGACTTATAGGACTCAGCATATCGTCGTTCTCACGGTAATGATTATTACACTGAAGGGTTGGGATACAGGCAGAACCAGCAAAGGGAGAAGGTGCTTCACTGTCCTCATTTACAAATGAGAATGATTTCTCCTATCTCAGAGAGTTGTCATAAGGGTAAAATGAGATAATTGTGGGCATGCACATCACTGTACAAATACTACCAGTTACGAGATTTCTTCACTGTCAAGCCAAAGAATGTACCATACACTTAAATCAGAACAGCATGGAAGGAAACTAACATTTTAAAGTACTTTCCATAACAGACTTCGCTAGATACTTTGGACATGTTTTCATTGATGTTTACAAAACCCCAAGCAGGTGGCTTTATACCCATTTTTCAAGGCAGGAAACCGAGGTTCAGAAATAAGTAATTTGCCCCCAGATACATACTTCTAATGCTACAACTTGTGTTCTGTCTATGACAGCATTCCCCAAATAGTCTCTTAACGTCTGATTCTGAGACCCTAGTTAATAGCTGTCAAGGAAGAAATCTCTGCTCCAGGTGAAGTCTGAGCTCATAACCTCTGAGTGCCCTTGCAAGCTGTCAGCTGCCGTGAACTTGTACAGCTGAAGCATAGGTGGCTATGTTTCCTGTTTTCTGGCCTGAGGTCATACTAATGTAGCTCAATGATGAAAGCAATTCCCTTGCAATCTTTTAGTTAATAATCATAGCCTTTACACTTCTGTGGTTGGTTGTGTTCCTTACTGGCACAGTCTTTTGGAGAACTTTGATAATGTCAAGATTTTGTAATGAAAAGTTCCTTAACATGACTATTTGAAACCAGAGGTATTTGGACAACTAAAAGGCACTCTGTGCTATGTCTCTGTAACTGTAATATATTAAGATAATCTCACCCAGGTGTTCTAGGCTTCTTAGAATAAGAAAAGTAAACCCATTATCTTTTTTATAGTCTTAAAGACAATTTTTTAACCCTACCAGAAGAAAAGCACCTTTGATTCCTATGTCTACCCTCCCAAGCTAAATTTGGATATTGGTCAAAGAAAGAGGCTTGGGTCCATTTACTTTAAGCATCTCAAATGATGTGATCAGTTCTTAGAAACCATTGGCCAGAATTAAATATTTTGAAGCTTCGCTGTTTTTAACCTTTATTTTTTTCTACACCTAAAAATCTTTCCTTGAAATGCAAACTTAAGAGTGTCATCAGGCATCTCTAATAGTGACATTTTTCAGATAAAAGGAAAATTAACAGTGATGAACTGATTGATCAGTGCTATTGAGAGAGCTCTATCTATTGAGAGAGCGTTTATCTATTGGGTTGTCAGAAAAGTCATGATGCATTTTTGCAACGAAAAACAGAAAAAAATATGTCATGACTTTTCCGACAACCCAATAGTACAGAAAATTACATTGAACAATTATATGCAAACAAAAAGTTGATACATGGTAAAGAGGCTGAAATTGAAAGCGAGTGTGTGTGTGTGTGTGTGTGTGTGTATGTGTGTGAGAGAGAGAGAGAGAGAGAGAAAATGAGGGCTTGGGAGGAATTTCACCTAACATGTTTAAGTGCCTACGAAGGATGTGCTTGTGCTGTAACATGTATTATGTGTGAAGAAAGCGATGCTTTGCAGCTGCCCCACAGTAATGGCACTTTCTTACTTTGCAGCATGTGAAACAACAGTGGAGCTCCTGTTTGACAGTGTTATACACTTAGGCTGTAAACCATACCTGGATAGCCAGCGAGCCGCCTGCAGGTGTCGCTACGAAGAAAAAACGGATCTTTAAAGAAGATGCAGACAGGTGGTGACAGCAGATGAGGATGGAAGAACATAACCTTTGGCAAAGAGCTAATGTTTTTACAACATGAAGCTGCCTGATTTCTGTGAAAGGATTATTCTAAGACCTTATTTTGACATTAAAACTTCAAAGTACAGAACAAGTGGGGAAGTTTATGTTTCTGGACGTTACTGCCTTAGTGTGCCAGATTGTCTTGACCAATGTCAGAGAGAGGTGCATTTTGTTAAGGGGAAATTTTTTTTGAAGAGTCTGTAACTTCGTTTTCACAAACATTATTTATAAAAGAAATGAAGTCAAATGTAAAATTCATTATAAGGTATGTTCAATATATCTTATTTGGAAATATGGGAAGATCTTCACTCAGAAGTATATTTGTTTACTATAAAATTTTAAATACACATTTATGCCTGGAAGAATCTGACTTTATTTTTTCTCTATTTTAATGAACACATAATAAGCTGTTTTTCTGTAGCCCACTGAGCATATGAATAAGTCACACTTCTATTAATGGCGGAACTAGTTACAAGGACGAGGTTTCCATGTCTGTTCTGTTGTAAAATTTGAACCATCATCTGGTAACCTCTTAGGGAACAAAACCAGGATATCTAGGTATTATGCAATATTCCTAGAATGTGACATAAATAAAATTCAGAAGCACAGCCACTCCCATTTTATGAACCACTCACATGACAAATATCATAGTGTGCTATAACCTTTGCCTAAACTGGAGAAAAGATGGGATTAACAAGACAAATGCAAAGTTGTTTAACATAAACATCAGAGCATTATATGCTGTGATGCTTTGTTGTTTATTCCTAGTACTTGCTCCTCATAGTAGATTCTGGGATATTTTTAAAAGACTGTAAACCTTTACTAATAGGAGTCTTAATAAAAACTGTTAGTGATACTGTTAGGGTTTTTTGTTGTTTTGTTTGTTGGTGTTTACATCTTTATCTGTGGGGTCAAAAGGGATGGAAAAGCAAGATACAAAGAACTATCACTTATAGATCTCTTATTTACATTAACAATTAGTAACAGGTTTAAGAGCAAATCCCAGAAACGTGGCTGCCTCTGAAAATGTCTGTGAGTGTTAAAAGCATTTCAAGTCCTTGGAAAGCTCAGCTGTGTTCCTCTACTGCTCCTTGCTTACTGCTGGCTGTAGACTTGCCCAAGCCCAGAATCCTGAGCTACATGTATCTTTTGGGTAACCTGTGGCCAAAGTGATTTAGATCAACTGCTTGGAAAGTCAGAGAAAGACACCACCAGAAGTGGTTCTTACGTCATTACAGGCAGAATTGGGCAGAAAGAAAAATAAGTTCTGGAAAAAGGGCCACATTCCTAACTGAATACACCAAGTCCTCAAATAATATTGTTTCGACATCATTGATGAGATGCCATAGGAATTAACTCTCATTTCTATCAATTAGCCTGTGATAAAATCAGTTTCGTTATGGGCCGATTCCCGTAAAGTTGCAGAACCTGCTGACGATGTTAAGTGACAACTTACTATATAACAGGTACCCAAAACTGAGATGGTGGCAGCTGTTCTAAGAGATGTGTCCTCTGTTAGGCAAGGCAAGTGTATCCCTCAAGGCTGAGTAAACTGGGCTCCAAATGTTTGGAACTCTTAATTGATACTTTTCAGACTTTTTTAAAGGTATAATTTTGTAAGCCATTATGAATATTTAATATTTATTAATATTTACTACTGAAACACTTGACCAGGCAACTTGAAACTTACAATAAATTCATGGATCTTCTTGGCAGCACTGAGATCACAGAACTGCAATCAGAAGCACTGATTCAGGCAGAAACCCAAATTTTGTCCCAATTTCAGGGTGAAGGCAATGGATTTTTATGAGAAAAGGGAAATAATTACATGAATAGAAGAAAGGAATTTCTATTGGTAAAGCTAAGGTACTCTAGTTATACAGGCGGACCTCATTTTGTTACACTTTGCTTTACGGCACTTCACGGATATTGTGTTTTCATCAGCATGGAGGCAAAAAAGATTGTGACTCACTGAAGGCTCAGACGATGGTTAACATTTTTTAGCAAATAAGTTATTTTTTTAATTAAGGTATGCACATTGTTTTTTAAGTGTCAATAAGGTTGTTGACACCTAGTAGGCTGCAGTATAGCGGAAACATAGCTTATTTGCACTAGGAAACCAAAAAAATTCCTGTAACCCGCTTCATGGTGCTACTCACTTTATTGTGGTGGTCTGCAGCTGAATCCACAATATCTGTGAGGTATGTCTGTACGTGGCTGGGTCCAGATTTTAAACAACATCCATAATCATCAGTCCTCATGGTCAGGGTGTCTGCCTTCCCGATAGCTTTTGTCAACTGAAAAATAATATTAACTAGGTGTTTCGTCACCAATCACCAAAAAGGATTTGTTCTGGAAATAGAAGGGGTTGCAGCCCAGTGCATGCAGACATTGCAAACCAAATACCCACTCTGGCCCGCGTGCCAAGAAAGAGGGGTATTTATAGAAGGGAAAAGGAAGTTAGAACCATAGAGCTTTATTATAAAGAGTTCTTTCTGTAGGTTCTGGGGATTATGTAGCGTGCAAGAAGTTCCATAAGCCCTAGCTCCTCCCATAAGCTCTCTCAACTGATTGTTTGCTTCAAGTTCCAGTTGGTCTTTATCACTTTACAAACAGTTGTTAGTGAGGCAACATTGTCCGGCCCACTCCAAAGGTAAATTTACCCAGTTCAGACACTGGGAAGGTTCAGGAGCAAGACGTGCAAGCATGCTTGTTCCTCTGGAATGGCTGGCTGCTCTGGCTCTATTTAAAAATAATTCCA